CAGACTTAAATCACACTGTCCTCAGTGTGAAACAAGTCGAGATTGGATGAGAAAAATGCATAGATAATCGAATTGGTAAGGCCAAAGAGAACTTACCTGGATCCGGGATGCTGGTGGAGATGAACCTGATTCATTCGAAGAGGTTTGGGAAGGTGATAGGTGGTGATGAAGGTGGTGGAAAGTGATGAATGAGGTGGAGTGGGGATTGGTGAGGTGGAATGAGGTGAAGTGGGTGGTTTGGGGTCGGGTTTGATCTCAAGGACCATTTACCGCGGTCAAGAGCCACGCGACCGTGGCAAACCGGTGCTCGGCCGCGGTCAGGAAGACGGTGCCGCGGTTGAAGAGGTGTTTCCCGCGGTCAGAACATCTGCGACCGCAGGGGCTTATGTCGCGGCCTGTTCCTGCTTCTCCTTGGTTCCTGATGGGCCGAGCAGTCAGGGACCATCCTTCTTTTTGGTTTTTTTGGGTTTTTGATTTTTTTGGGTTTTTTGTTTTATAAGAAACACCTGAAACTAGAAAAAGAAAAAGATCAATAGAAAAAGAAAGAAAAATCCTAAAGAAAACAATACCTAAATGGGTTGCCTCCCATTAAGTGCTTCTGTTTTAAGTCGTTTAGCTCGACTTTTGGTGTTGGACGTGGCTTAGTCCAATGAAGAAGACCTTGTCCTGAGACAAGTCTTTTTCGACATCTCCTTGCTTTGCCTAGCAGGTTCTTCGTCGCTCCAAAGTTCTTCTTCAAACTCTTCTGTTGCAGAACGTTTTCCTGCTTTGCTGTTGTATGGGACAGCTTCTGTGAAGACATCTTTGTTGATATTAGCAAATGAGATCCTCCGATTCGGCCAGTCCATTATAGCTCCAGAAGTTGCTAGAAAAGACCATCCGAGAATCACTTGATATGTTGCGTCTCTCGTCTCGACAATGTAGAAGTCGACATGCACTATGCAATCTCCTATTCTCAAAAGAATTTCATGAGCTATTCCTTGAGGTGTTGCATTGGAATCATCAGCTAGACTAATCTTTGCTCTAGTCATGCGCAGGTGTTTAATACCAAGTCTCAAAGCAATTGCCTTGGACATCATGTTAAGACAAGCTTCAGAATCACAAAACACATTTTTAAACATTTCTCCTCTAATAGAACAAGAGATAAGAAACTGACCTACACCTTCGATTTTGTGAAGTGTTCGAACAGGTTTACCTCTTCTGGCATGATTGAACAAGTCTTCTATCTCAGGGATTTATCCCTTGCTCTCACAGAAGTAATGGCCTATCATGAAGTCCTTGCAAGCTCTGGCAAATGTGATTCCTACAGGAAAATTTCGGACTACATCATTGAATTCGTCGAGCTTTTCTTTGCTGATTTTGTTGGTGTAGTGGCTGCAGTCTTCAGGTATTTGAAGTTGTATTGAATAGATTGCAGCATCAGATGATGTTCTGGGAAAAGTCAGGCGTCTGGCCCTCTCAAAATAGGTTCGGATATCCTCTTTTGTCTCCTAGCTGTACCTAAAGAAAACTTGCAAACAACCAAGATGCCATATATCATCGAAACCTATGTAAGAGGGATCGATTTCACAAACTTGTTGAATTCAATGAGTCTTTCCCTGGAGATTGGTGCTCCTAATTCCACCATTTTTTCTGGATTGCCTCCTTCTATGAACAGACGATAGTCTTCATCTTTGAGGTAATGCCCTTCATATTCATCCACATATGCTAAAACTATGTTGCAGGGAAATACCTCATTTTCTTCTTTAGATGTTTTGGAGCTGATAGCGTACACCGTTTGCTCATGAAAAGGAGTTTTGACCGCCCCAGCAGATGTATCAAATGAACATTGACCTGTAAGAATAGAAAAGGGCTGAAAAGTATCTGACCGACTATTTGCCGCGGGTGGAGGCTGCATGACCGCGGGTGGGGAGTGGTTTGCCGCGGGTAGGAGTCTCACGACCGCGGCTGGAGGGCTGTTGGCCGCGGTCGCGTGAGTCGTGACCGCGGGAGAAAGACTTCGAGATGGTTCAGATGTTTCATCTTCTCCTTTGCCATCTAAACTGGTTTTTGGGTCCTCCAACTCTGTCTCCTCTTCTTTTAGGTCAAGATCTTTGATGGGAAGCGTCGAGCCGTTTGTTTCACATCCTTTCATAAGCTTCTTGACCTTCTCTTCAACTTCATTTAGGGCACACACTACTTTGTCAACGGTTGAGTCGATTTCTTCGGCTTTGTCTTGAACCTTGTGTACTCCATCCCAAATTTCTTCCACATAAGAGTAAGTTTGGTTGTTGTGGTCGTTAATAGTTTCTTCTGCTTCATCGAGCTTAACCTCTAAGGTGCGGATGTTCCCACTGGCTTTGCGAATGCAAACTTCGTTTTCTCCAACTCGTCCTTCGACTGCTTCTATCCTCTCCTTGATAGTCTCAGCATCCTTGTTTGCTTGAGTCTCGATGGTTTTAACTTGAGCAGAAAGATCTTCAAGCTTTTTGTTAAAGTGAGTTGACATGCTGTCAATTTTCTCGTGAAGGGCGGCTCTTGATGTGGCTTGAACGGCGATTAAGTGCATGACCACTGTTTCTAGTCAACTCAATCGGTGACTGAGCTGGACGTTTTCATCTTGGTGGGGCAGACGACAAACAGGATGTCTAGGGTTTGCCATTGGAGGTACGTATGGCTCGTTCTTGGCTCGTTCTGGAACGTTCTGTAGTCTTCGGTTTGAATTTCTTCATAGAGATTGCGTAAGTACTGCTTCTCTCTGCGTCTGGTGGCTTGAGGAGTGTTATAGAAACCTTCCTCATAGTGTGGATTTCGATTTATAGAATCCATATCTTCTGAAATGGAAACAAAATAACCGAAAAATGGAAATATGCAGAAAAAGGGTTCTAGAGTCGATTTACCAACCTTTCCTAGGGTTTTGCGGAAAAGAAAACGCGTGCCTTCCCCGGCAACGGCGCCAAAAACTTGATGTGCTTGTGTGTGAGGGTTGTCAAGTTTTACCCTAAATGAAATCAATAGCCGCAAGTGCACAGCTGATCGATTGTAGTACTTAGGGATCGAATCCACAGGGAAGGAGGATCTTTCCTGCAAAAACCTTCGAAAGAAATATAAAGTAAGGAAGTCTAGAACCAGGCGAGTTTTGTGAGGGTTTTGGTGGTGTGTTTAAAATGCAAAAACGAATCCTAAAGAGAAAATACGGGAATTAAAATGACCTAATAACTAAACTTAACGAAAACGGGTAAAAACGAGAAAAACGGCTAACCTAATTGCTTGAATGAAAATCGATTGAAAGAGTAAATAAACTAGACTAAAGCTTGAATGAAAATCGGTGTAAATCTATAAGAAAAGAGGCGCTGGGGTTCATGGAAGTTTTCTCAGGGGTATGAACGATTCAAAACATTGCTCGAGAGTAAATTTGATAAGATCTTAGCTTAAACTTTTCGAACTGGAGTCACGGACGTATGAATACGCCACTGTCGTGATCATAGACAACTATCTCTCTCAACCCTGACCAGTAGGTTTCCACTCTGGCCCTGGAAAAGAAGAGGTGCATTATGTTTAATACTCGTCAGCATTCACAAATTGCCCATAGGTAGGTTTCCACTCCTATGTTTGTTTTGCTCTCCCAAACTAGATCTGACACCGGATGAACACTTTCGTGTCACCAAGCATCTGGATCGGATTGTAGTTCATGACGCTACTCTCATGCAGTAAAACCGAATTCAGAAAAAAAAGTTCTAAGATTCGGCTCAAAAGCTCATGGAATCCTCACCAAACATATAAATCCCCATCGAAAATCCCTTAATCCCAACAATAAAACTACTCAAACATAATGAACGAAATCAAAAACATAGTATTAAAAAGTAGAATAGAAACCGAAATTGAAAAAGAAAGAACAAGGGTTCAAGAGACAGATCTCTCTCTCCCTAAAACCTAAAAACATAGCTTAAAGTAAAATTTCTGTAAAGTATTTTGTCTCTCTTCTTCTCTCTTTAAAAACGACCTAAATGACATGTATTTATAGTCTCCAATACTCTTTGGTGTCTAGGGTTCCGGAATTGTGGCTGGGAAAATGATACAGGCTTAAGAAATGGGCCTTCAAAGTCGGAGTTAGCTGGCCGCGGTCGGGATGTGCGTGACCGCGGGAAATGGGTGGCTGGCCGCGGTCAGGATGTGCGTGACCGCGGGAAATGGTATATTGGCCACGGGTGGAAACGCTTGCCGGCTGGTTTACGGGACATCTTGCTCTTCGCGTATCTTTTGATTGAACCGTTGGATTGCCAAGCTGTAAAGTGTGCTGGAAAGCTGATACTTCCATCTTTAAGATCTCCAAATTTGAGCTGGATCAGACGGTGAGAAGGCCCTCAATCGGAGGTGAACTTCTGACGGTTTGACTCTGAGCTGAAATCTGGTTTTCTATCCATTTTGTTAAGCTTTTCCCAAAGTTATCTGAAAAGAGTCTTGGAACTACAAATACTAGAAAAACGTAATAAAAGTACTTAAAAGCAATTAAAAACACAGAGAAAGTATTTCAAAACGATCCATAAAAGTGGTCAAAATACGGTGTTATCACATGCACACTTTGGGGAAAGCTTGGTGATGAAGTCTGTTCGGCTTGTCGGAGTGTGGGTGAAAGGAGTGTCATTCTTGTGATCTGTTTTGGGAAAATAAACATTTTCAAAGGTACATATTAATTTTGTTTAGTCATAAATTTGTTCTTTCAATACAACACCATTGTTTTGTTTTGTTTGTTAAATATTGTAGGTGATCGTCGAATTACAAGTAGTTGTCAAACAACAAAGGTTCTGATTGATTTGAATGATCCCGATGTCATTGTCTTCAAGAATAGGTAATTTGTCTATGTATATTATATATATGTCTTATCATTACGATTATGAATACAACTAATACTATTACCTATTATTAGTTTACCTAAGAATTGCGGATGTATTACCTTCTTGAGTAGCAAACCTCAACAAAGGGTTTCTTATGGTGATGAGATTCATTTCGATCAGTTTTCAATGGTCACTATTTCAGAATTGCAAGATTCTCTTGAGGTATATGTCATTTTAAAACTTTGGTAGCGAAAACGTATAGATTATATAATTTTGACATTTGTATTTTTGTTTCTTCAGGTTGGGAAATGTAAGATCATGTGCACAATCTACGCGGTTGACACAGACTGGTCATGGTTTTATTTGCACTAGGTGTGGTAAAAAAGTATACAAAATTCCAAAGAAGGAAGATCAAAAAATGACCAAGAAGAATAAGACCCTTTATTCATGTGATACATGTGATGCAAAAGTGTCCTTTGTGAGTGCGAGGTAAAATGTTTTACTATTTTTTTAGTATTTGTCTTAATTATTTTTTTAACCGTGTATTTGAATATTTTAATACAATTTTTATATATTGCTAGGTACAAACTTCATCTTTGCGTTATGGACGATACCAAAAAGATCAAGTGTTTTCTTTTTGATAGAAACGCACAAGATATTTTAAATCAGAAAGCTGATGAAATTCTCAAGGAGAACTTCGATGAGGTATTAATTGTAAATCTTAATCTATGATACAATTTTAACCCTATATGAATAAAGACTTTGTTTGTTTAAAATGTCAAGTACGTTATATACTTAGATACAAGAACCGGATGTCCTTCCTGATGCACTGCAAAATTTGATTGGGAAGACTTTTCAGTTTCTGATTTTTGTTGAGAAAGAAAATATATACGGAGGTAGGAATACATACAAAGTCGGGAAGGTTTGGAAAGGAAATGATGTTTTATCCGCTGATGAGGTGAATGAATCTGAAGATATGGGTGATCAGAGTTGGCTATTGTCTGGTAATAAGGTATAATTTTGAAATTTAATAGTTTGGATTGCATATAATAAATTGTATATATTAATACACGTTATTTGGCCTTTTATGTTTATATTTATATGTAAACCTTGTTGGTGTCGCTGATAAACACGCTGAGGCAAGAGCCTTCTTATGAGATGGAAATTTGACAAGGGACTCACTCGTGCACATGGATCTAGAAAAGTGATGGGCGTGATATAGCGAAAATATGGTTATTTGAGTACGTATTTTCTCATGTTATTTTGCTATTGTTGTTCAACTTTTTGTTGAAATTTGTTCGGATGATACTCATGCATTTGTTCTTGAACTTTAATAATTTATTCTTTTAATTTAACCATTACTACGTTTACGTTATTTTACAAATTACGTGTGTATCGTGTTAATTTTATTGGGTCCGAAATTAATATTGCCTAATGTTTTCCAGTGACATATTTGAGTAATTACTAGTATATGTATGATGAAGAAATTGGAGATGAATCATACACTTACTTCGGAGTACATACCTTATTTTTATATTTTTCAAGATATTTTCCAATATTTATAGAAGATATATTCATTTATTTGTAAATGATATTCTATGGGAATTTGTGATAATTGAGTCAACTGTATCTTAATATGTTTTAATTAGAGCAGACTTTTGGGGAATATGAAACACACAGATGAAACGTGAGTAGTCACCTTACTTTTACGACTATAAATAAAAGTAGAAGGGAACTTTCTTCACTCAAATACAATTCTCTCTACAACTATTTCTCTCATGTGGTCCTCAGACAGACGTACAAAAACTATATTTACATCCAAAAAAAATGTTTATCTACTAAATATTTTTGTACATCTGTCAAGGATCACATCAGAAAGAAGTAGTTTATTTATATTTCCTAATTTATACCTAAGTAAATTAATAATTTAAATCTCAATTTTTTTTTATGTAGATGTTCGTGGAATGAATTTTAACAAAAAATGATATTTTATATAGTGGGAAATTCGATTGCATATATAATATATAATCATATCGACTGAATATGTGAATAACTTAATTATATACTGTCTTAACGATTTACAGTATGCAATTAATAAATTATAATATTTTGCAAATATACAGCGTGAAATTGTAATGGCAATGTTTTTAAGATGCTTCATATCTATGGTAAGTAACAATAATTTTTATGTACATAATTCGATTTATGGTAGATTATTCATATATGTGAATGATAATTTCATATAGATTGATTATGTTCATTTATCAATTTGTATTTTGAAATATAGAGAAATCTTTACATATCATAATTGATTAATAGATATTGTTAAGATTCACTTGTAGGATTTGCCGCCGTAAATTTAACCTAAACTCTTTCGTTTTATTCTTAGTCTATCTTCCCTCCCTAATCCCCTCGTTTTTTGCTATATTTTGATCTTAACGAGGAGGTTTTATGAGAGGTTAAATTATGCCTAGGATTAAACATGTTGATCGGAAGAATAAACAGAAGACTTTGTTGTCTGGTTGGAGCAGCCAAGTTTAATTTAGGGTCATCATCTACCAATTCGCTTACTCAGAAATCAGATATAGTGGATAATCATTTTGAAAACGAGATCAAAGTTCATTCTCTATTTCCAAAAATTTTGGTAGACAGAACAAATACTGAATCCCTAACTAGAACGCATAATCAATTTTCTCCTACCGTATGTGATGGACTGGAAAACTGTAAGTCTTAAATTGATGTTTAGAAACTATTTTCTTTAAATCGTATATTATTATCGTTAACACAATGGTTATAAATTATTAAACTTTGTATGCGACATTATTATTTCAATAATCAGCTTTACATACTCAAACAAATTATATTGGGAAAGAGAATTATTTCACATTAGAAAAGAGAAAGCGGAAGCAACCAGAATCACTATCTTCATGTGAGTTATATATGTTTGGCATATTAAGGTCCTTTATATATAATGTACCTTGATAAGTATTGGTTTTCGTAATCTTCTTTTTGTTTTTTATATATAGCCGACCTATCCCAGTTGACATCAACGAAGTTAACTAATTGTGGGTCAAGTAACAAGTCAACCAAGTTTGTTTTCTTAGAAAATGGAGATTCATCTTGTATACGAAATGCAGATGCTATATCTTCGTATGAAGATTATAAATGTAAACATGAGATTGGTCAGAACTACAACGAGAATATTTTCGACCATCAATATCGTGAAGGTAAGTATTTATATTGCAAATAATTTTGTGCTCAGAAAATATCGTTCACTTGCATTTCATATTGGTTTACATTCGTCTGTCAGGACATGTTGATTATAGTAGTCTTGGTGTTGATGATACCAAAGATATGTATGATGATGTCGTCTTCCCAAACAAACACTGGGATTCAGAAGGTAATATTTACCTTCACGCTGTATTGACTTAACGTGCAATTATATACACTTACACCTTTTTAACTAAGAACAATTATATAGTTTATAGATGAGTATGATTATGAACAGCGGTTTGACTGTAGCAGTCTTGATGGTTTGTCCGATGAGGAAAACTATATTATGGATGAAGCTGGCGAAGAAATTTCATCTGACAATAAGGAACCTGAAGACTATGTTTATGATGTCAAGAGTTTAGCTACTATGTTGCAAAAAGCGTTTTCTGTAGGAGTCTCTAATAATAATAATCCTTTCAGCGAATATAAAGGTATTTCTTTCCAACGCTAAATCTTATGTTATGTAATTCACATATTAATTTATTATAATGTCGGACTACTTTTATATTCAGAATATAAAAATGATGGCTATCCTTCATATGAGTGTAATTATTGTGGTGCAATTTTCTGGTATGATGAACGTTTAAACAAAAGAAGAAGAGCAAAGAATCTTATATTTTCTTTGTGCTGTTCGCAAGGTCAAGTAAAGCTACCATACCTTCGAGATTCTCTAGAGGAATTAATGCATCTTTTTACATCTGTCGATGATCTAAACAAACATTTTTGCGAGAATGTTAGACCCTACATTATGCTATTTTCAATGAGTTCTATTGGAGGTAAAGTAGATAGGTCTATCAAAAATGGGCGTGGACCATCAATGTTCCAGCTTAACGGAGAGAATTATCATCTGATGGGAAGTATGCTCCTTAAACCTGGTGATGTTGCAAAGTTTATTAGTTATTTATTGTTGACACTGATGAAGAAGTACAAAATCGTTCGACCATTATGAGGTAAAAGTAATGATTGAATTCATATTTATTATTACATTATTTTAATAATAATATTTTTTTTCTTGCAGCAAAAGTAAAAATTCTATGAAGGTGTCTAAACGTAAACAATTCAGGAATGAATTAATTGATAAGCTGATTAAGATGTTAGATAAGGTGAACCCTTACGTGAAGAATTTTCGAGCTGCTAGAGACAGATTCAAAATTGGATCCCAACGAGGAGCTTCATATGAGACTTATAAATGATCGCTAGAAAGACTCAAGGATATATAATATGCCTACTGCGTCTGAAGTGGCTGCGTTGATCCTTGGTGATCTGAATGATGATATGTGTAAGCGTGATATAATATTGCAGAAACAATGCAGCAAGCTGATAAGAATTAGTGAAATTCATCTTTCATACATTGCTCTAGAGTATCCTTTGATATTTCTGTATGGTGAAGACGGTTTTCATATTCAAATTGAAAGATGCTTTGCAAAAACTGGGAAGAAGAAACGGAAACGAGAATATATTAGTATGAGACAGTTTTTTGCATTTTGTATACATGAGCGAAAGAATGAATGTCACACTTTTCTGCGGGCTAAGGTTATTCCAGCAGTTTCTGGTTGATGTTTTTACCATGATAGAGGCAAATCGTGTCGGCTATCTTGACAAAAACCAGACATCACTGAGATCTGAAAATCTTGATTCAATAGAAGATGCATCAAATAAAGGTAAAAAGAATTTGTGTGATCAAGGTAGAAAAACGTATTTGCCTCCTTCATTCACTGGTGGACTTCGATATATGACTCAATGCTACTTGGATGCAATGTCTGTATGTAAACATTTTGGGTACCCTGATCTTTTTATCACCCTTACATGTAATCCAAAGTGGCCAGAAATCACAAGGTATGTGAACGAGCGGAAACTCAGTTTTGATGATAGACCAGATATAATTTGTCGGGTGTTCAAAATGAAGCTAGAATCTATGATGATGGATTTTGCTGATAACAGACTCGGTATAGGAAAAGTTGTTTCTGGTTAGTAACTTTGACATTCTTTAATATTGACATTTGTAATATCAATATTATACAGTTTATTCATTGATATATATTTTCATAATTTCAGCCATGTACACCATAGAGTTTCACAAGAGGGGTCTACCGCATGCACATATACAATTGTTTTTAGTTCCAACTTCAAAAATTCCTCCTGAAAAAATCGACAATGTTATATCAGCTAACATACCCGACCGATATGAAGGGTCAGAGCTTTATGGAATTGTTTCAGAAATGATGATTCGTGGACCATGCGGTGAAATTAATCCAAGATCACCATGCATGTCGCAAGGGAGTTGTACAAAAATGTATCCTAAACAGCATGTTGAGACAACATCTATTAATAAAGAAGATTTTCCTTTGTATAGGAGGAGGTCACAGCTCAAGAATTACGTTGACAAAAATGGATACAAATGTGGTAATAGATTTGTGATACCCTATAACAAGAAGTTGTCTCTTCGTTATCGAGCTCATATCAATGTTGAGTGGTGCAACCAAGCTTCTTCCATTAAATACTTATTTAAGAATATAAATAAAGGATTTGATCATAGCACAGATTGTAAAAGCTGATGGAGGAGATAACAGTCTGTGATTCCACACATGAATGTCAAGCAAAGAAGAAAAATGAGATTAAAGACTTCTTCGACTGCAGGTTCGTTGTAAACATTTATATTTGAACTACTGTCAGAATAAAAACTATATATTAAATTGAACATCGTTAGTTGTTTACTTCTAACATACTATTTTATTATACAGATATGTATCTGCGTGTGAATCGGCATGGCGAATCTTAAAAAATCCAATCCACAATCGTACAACCCCCGTTGAACACCTTTCATTTCACTTACCAGACAAACATTTGGTATATTTCAAGGGCGATGAGATGGTAGAAACGGTTATCCATAGGGAAGTTGTAAAGAACACAAAGATGACGGCTTGGTTTGAGTTAAACAAAAAAGGCGGTAAATGTAAAACACTCACGTATGGAGAAATTTCTGTTTACTATACGTGGGATAAATCACTTCGGATGTTTAAACCAAGGAAAAGAGGTTTTGCTATTGGAAATATTACTTATGTTCCACGTAAACTAGAAGAAGCTTATTATTTGAGGATTCTTCTTAATGTTGTCAGGGGTCCAGAATCTTTTGATGACATCAAATCCTACAATGATGTGGTATACCCTTCTTTCAAGGAAGCATGTTATGCTTGAGGGTTGTTAGAAGATGACCAGGAGTATATTAGTGATATTATTAGAATGAGTTTTACTGCTACAGAGTCATTTTTAAGACGACTATTTGTTATAATGCTTGTATCTGGTAGTTTGTCTCGGCCTGAATATGTTTGGAAACAAACCTGGGAAGTTTTGTCAGAAGATATTGAATACATGCGGCGACAGCATTGTAATCGGTCAGGTTTGATATATTCCCTACCGTTTTCTTATTTATTTTATTGTATCTTTAACGGTATTGTGTTAAACCGTATTGCATTGTTTAATTTGTTACTGATTAGTAAACTCATTATACATATAATTTACACGTTTTGCAGGTCTTATATTGGATGATGCTGATAAGAAAAAGTTTGCCCTTTTGGAGATTGAGAAGATCTTGAAATTTCACAATAGTTCTTTGCAATTCTATACATCAATGCCTAAGCCTCCAAAAGATGGGCTTAACAACGATAATGTCTTAATAATTGATGAAAAATTAATGATAGACAGGCATTAAAAGAAATGCATGATAGAGACATTGTGAAGCTTACCACTGAGCAAAGGAAGATTTATAAAGAGATTATTGAAGCAGTTGAGAACAAAAAAGGAGGCATTTTTTTTTTGTATATGGATTTGGAGGTACTGTCAAAAATTTCATTTGGTCTCTTTTGTCTGCTGTAATAAGATGTAAGGGTGATATTGTGCTAAACGTTGCTTCAAGTGGAATCGCATCTTTGTTGTTACAAAGAGGTCGGACAGCTCATTCGCGTTTTGGTATACCTATTAACCCAGATAAATATACTACATGTTCGATGAAACGTGGTTCAAAAGTTGCGAATTTGATAAAATAAGCATCTCTTATTATTTGGGATGAAGCACCTATGATGAGTAAATACTGCTTTGAATCGTTAGATAAAAGTTTATCTGACATCATGCAGAATGACGAAGGAGGTGTTTTCGGTGGGAAAGTTGTTGTATTTGGTTGAGATTTCAGGCAGATTCTACCTGTCATGCATGGTGCTTCAAGGGGAGATGTTGCTAATGCTGCATTGAACGCATCCTATATCTGGGATTATTGAAAAGTTATAAAGCTAACAAAAAACATGAGGTTACTGACAAGTGACTTGAGTGTTGAGCAAGCAAATGAATTAAAGGAATTTTCTGAATGGATTTTAGATGTTGGCGAAGGTAAAATTGCTGAGCCAAATGACGGTGAAGCAATGATTGATATTACTGAGGAGATCCTTATAATGGATGTACATGATCAATCAAAGCAATATGTACACAAATTTACGGAGAACAAACATCGTTTCAGGAGGAAAAAGAGGCCAAATTTTGGCAAGAAAGAGCAATACTTTGTCCAACCAATGAAGATGTGAACAATATAAATGAACATATGTTGTCGAAGATGACTGGTAAATACAATATGTTCATCTTATATGATTGTGTTTATTGGTTTGTTTTTGAAATTTTATTCTTACTTATATTAATATTTTGAACTAATTAACACAGGGGTCAAAATTATATCTGAGTTCTGATACTATAGATCCTGCTGACTCTGGAGCATTGCAAAATCATGCTTTTACTCCTGAGTTTTTAAACAGTATAAAAGTTGCTGGACTTTGCAATCATTGTATTACATTGAAAATAGGGTGTCCTGTGATGCTGCTTAGGAATATTGACCCTAAAGCGGGATTGATGAATGGAACGAGACTTCAGATTACACAAATGGTGGATTTCATGATAGAACCAAGAGTTATTACCAGAGATAAAGCTGGAGACAAATTTACTATTCCACGATTGCTGATTACTCCATCTGATACAAGATTGCCTTCTAAATTAAGACGTAGACAGTTACCGTTGGCAGTTGCATTCGCTATAACCATCAACAAAAGTCAGGGACAATCATTATCAGAAGTAGGTTTGTATTTACCTCGTCCTGTGTTTTCTCATGGGCAGCTATATGTTGCAATATCTTGGGTAACATCGAAGAGAGACTTGAAAATACTGATAGTAGATAGAGATGACAATCCACAAAGGCAAACAATGAATGTTGTATCCGAAGAAGTATTCCGAAATTTAGGAAATGATCGTGATGATTAAAAAGGTATGTTTTTCGTATTTGTTCTGTTAATAATATAATGCATTTATTATGTAAAAGTTTTTGTTTTTATGTTTTATGTAGAGGTGAATGCGTCACTGTATTCCTATGGTTATTATATGATTCAACTTGGTGTTGTTTATCGTTTGATGTTGTTA